CATTGCTTAACTATGAGGGGCCGTACAAGCCATAATTAATTCTGGCACTCTCACACACTTACATTCTCCTTTCACATACATATATTCTTGCTTTCACATACTTACATTCTCCTTAAAGCAAAAATATATGTATGTGAAAGGATAATGTAAGTGTGTGTGAGTGCCAGAATGAATTATGGCTTGTACGGCCCCTCATACTTAACAGCGTGCATTCATAGCACTTTTTCTAAAGCTAACCCTAAAGGTTTCAAGGCAGTGAAGTATGTCTTATACAAAATGTTCTGTTCAACATAAAGAAATAAAGGTTTAAGTTAGTGAACATCAAAGACGGTCCTCCCAGTCATTTATGAGAGTCTGCACTGCAGAGCGATCAATTTTGCTGGAACGGGAGTCTTTACGTAACACTACAGAGACGAGCAGAACACCTGACAGCCTGTTTCTCCACAGAGAGAATAACTCAAGTGCAAAAACAGCATGCTATTTGCATCTCTTCTGTTTATCAGATGACTTTATGCAAAGCAACTCTCAAATTACTATAATACAATAAGAAGGGATTCATCCAAGGAAGAAAATGGTACAAGCAGTTGTCACATGACATCATTATTTTGCATATTTAATTTTAATGTGTATTCTAATGTCAACGTTTTGGCAGTTAAATTATAATGAATAGCATAATATTCTTTAATATATAAAGTTTTTATTAGTATATATTAAGTTTATGTAGTTTTGTTTCATATATATATATATATATATATTAATCACGGTTGCGGTGCGGTTCGATGCACTATGTTTAGGGAAAAAACTATATTGTCAAATAAAGATAAAGAAAATAAGAACAAATAAATAAGAACAAGCAACAGCACAAATAAATACAATAGAGCAAAGATACAAATAAAAATTTAAGTAGGTCTAACATTAGTTTTTAGGTACAGAAATTGAATAAAGTAAGCAAATGTAAAATAACATTGCATATTTGACTGTATAAATTAATGATTAGTCCTGATTAAAATTACAAAAGTTATTCAGTCAAGAGCACTGAGTCATTTCCGTGTTGTTGCTGTTTGATTAATATTAACAAAGTGCGGTCACTTTAAGAGAATGCATGGACTGATACTGTACGTTCAGCCGGCTATGTCTGCTAGGATACTCGCCAAGACGAGCATTTTGACATAATTTTTGTGTGAATTTGCCCATGTAAGCACAATACTTCAAAGAGAGCTTAAAATTGCAAGTGGCGTCGCCGGCGCCACCCTCGACTCCAGGAGGTTAATACACCTATAAGTACTAATTAGTTATTATAAGCAACCCTCTACATTGCGAGTAAATCACTCGCATATGCGACTAAATCTTCACTCTGGCGACTAAATGATGTCTAATATTAGCCAATTGCTAATAAATTCTCAGATTTTACTCGCCAGTGTGTGAGTTGGAGGCTAAGTATAAGTTTAGCTCAGATATATTTTCACTCGCCGAACACTCTCTGACTGAGTGCTTCAGAGTTTCTCTCTCCGTCAAGTGATCTGTGCTGTTTTTCAGTTCATCTGAATGGATGTGCAACGCACAACGTACCGTAAACTCTAGTGTGAAGGCGCACGACTCGCCGTCGCTTTGTTTCACACACACGCAGCGAGAGAGGGAGAGAGAGAATTGACGCGCTACCTATGCGCTCTACATGTTAACGATATTCTTTGTTGTATTTTGCTGTCAAAAATAACGGAGTTCCTTTGGAATTCTTCCGCTTTTAAGAA